TAATTTTTTTTATCCTCACCCGAGGACTTTTTTTTTTTTTTTTTAATTTTGTTCAGATAGAGTGGGAGGGAGGGAGAGAGAGAGAGAAACATTGACGTGAAAGGGACACATCGAGTGGTTGCCACCCACACGACCCAACCAGGGCCGGGGAAAAACTGCAACTGAGGTACATGCCCTTAGCAGGAACCGATCCCGGGTCTCTCTGGACTGCAGGCTGATGCTCTAACCGCTGAGCCAAACCGGCCAGGGCTCCTTTATTTATTTTAGAGAGAGAGAGTAACTGAGAAGGAGAGGGAGGGAGAAACATCGATGAAAGAGAACATCGACTGGCTTTCCCCTACATGCCCCACACTGGGGATCGGGCCCAAACCTGGGCATTTGCCCTGACTGGGAATCGACCCGTGACCTCCTGATGCATGGGTCGATGCTAAACCACTGAGCCACACTGGCTGGACTCCACTGATTTTTTTTTTAAGTAAGTTTTTTATTTCCCTGGCCGGTTTAGCTCAGCAGTTAGAGCACCGGCATGTAGACCAAAGAGTTGCAGGTTAAATTCCAGTCAAGGGCATGTACCTTGCTTGTGGTTCAGTACCAGGCCCTGGTCAGGGTTCTGCAGGAGGCAACCAATCAATCTCTCTGTCTCCTTTTCTCTCTGTCCCCCTCCCACTCTATCTGAAGATAAATGGAGAAAATATCCTTGGGTAATGATTAAAAAAAATAAAACATTTTAATGTATTTTTTTAGAGAGGAAGGGAGTGAGATACAGAAACATCGATGTGAGAGAGAAATATCAATGGCATGCCCCTACTGGGGATCGAACCCACAACCCAGGCATGTGCCCTGAATGGGAATCGAACCAGGACCTCTCAGTCCATGGGATGACAGTCCACTGAGCCACACTGGCTGGGCTCCATTGATTTTTAGATAAGAGTGGAAGGGAGCGCGAGAGAGAAACATGGATGTGAAACACATCGACTGGCTGCCTCCTGCATGGCCCCTAACAGGGCCAGGATTGAACCCACTACCCTCTGGTCTGTAGGCTGGGGTTCGATGTGTCTCTCACATCCATGTTTCTCTCTTCCTCTCTCTCTCCCTCGCTCTCTCTCTCTTCCACTCTCTCTAAAAAATAAAATAAAACAATGGAAAATATATCCTCAGGTGAGGATTAAAATATTTATTAGAAAAGAAAACAATGCCTTTTTGGTATGTAGAAGCTCCCCTCATAATACAAGTCACATATGAATTTATTTGTAACTATACAGAATGGGAAAACAAACTGTGATATCCATACCATTGAATAAAACTTAGCAATAAAAAGGAACAAATTATTGATACACACAACTTGAATGGATCTCAAAGGAATTATGTTCTGTGAAAAAGGGAAGTTTCAAAAGACCACATACTCTATGAGTCCGTTCTGGAAAATACAAAACTGCAGCCACTGAAAACAGATCAGTGGTTGTCCGGTTATGGGTCAGGGAGAGGGGCAGCAGCAGGGAGTTTGTGCAGTGGATCTATTCTTTATTCCGATTGTGTGGGTGGTGACACAAGTTAAAATTCAGAACTGAGTTGCTGAGAATATCCTTCCAATATGCCAAGGTTATGGTTTCAGTTCCCAGTTGGGGCATGTATGGGAGGCAACTGATCCATGTTTTTCTCTCACATTGATGATTTTCTCTCTCTCCCTCCCTCTCTCTGTCTAAAATCAATAAAAACATATCCTCAAGTAAGGATTTAAAGGAACCAGTGAATGCAAAAATAAGTGGAACAAATCAATGTTTCTCTCCCTTCTCTAAAATGAATCAATATTTGTTTTTAAAAATTCAGAACTGAATACCCTAAAATAAAATAAATAATATAAAACTGTTTAGATAAACATTAAAAAATCAGTTCAAAAAAAAATCAGTTCACACAAAATAGCAACCTCATACACTCTGCTATCTAGAAAATTGTGTAATGGAAAACAGCACCCTAGCCCCTTATCCTGTTTGTCCTCTCTGCTGGAGCAGCGACATCTGTTTTGGGCTCTGAGAACATCACTCACCCCAGTTGCCTGTCTCTTAAAATTTCCTTCATTTTAGCGTCTCTTGAAGTCCCCAGCATGGCTGGTCTTCAAGTTCTGTTTCTGGATATGCAGAACGGCCTCCACATCTGTCTGGATGTCCCCACCTCTGGGTCTCAGACTCTGGGCTTTCCATTTCTGTCGTCTCCCTGCTTCTGCTGCCTTCTCCATCTTCATTTCTAGGTCTTCTTTATCTTCCCAATTCTGGGCCTTCCCCTTCCTGTGTGACTTCGTCTCTGGGTCTCTATCCGTTTTTGGGTCTCCTCTTCTGAGCCTTTCTCCCTCTCACTGTGTCTCCGTCGACCTTTCTTCTCAGGGTATCTCGCTCCCTCTGAGACTCCGGATCTCCCAGCCCTGACTCTCCATCTCTGGGTCCTCACGCTTCTGTCGCTCCCAGTCGCTGCGTCTCCCTGTCGCCGCGTCTCTGACCCACTCCCTGGCTCTCCCGCTGGGTCTGCGGCTCTGGTTGTCAGGGCAATGCTGTGTAATTCTCTTGTTTACTCCGTTGCCATGGTATCAAAAGTGGCGCAGGCGCCTGGGCGGGTAGCCTCGCCCCGCCCCAGCCGCGCAGAACGCCCGCTGTATTCTGGGAGTCGTAGTCCCGCCCTGCACACGCATAGTTCCGGGCCGCGGTGGTGCGGTGTTCGCGGCCACTGGGTCCGGTTCGGTGCCGCTGCGCCTGAGGTGGGTGTTCCCAGCGACCGCGCGCCCCTGCGACCTGTCTTTCCGGTGCAGGTCTCAGGTCCAAGCGGTCAGGCCCGAGGGCGCCGCGCAGCTGCATTCCGGGGTGGCCTGAGGAGCAAACACGGGGTCTGTGGGGGTGGGTCAAGCTGTGGAGCCCAAGTAGGAGCAAGGTCGGGGACTGAGGTGCCCCGAGCGTGAATCCGGGAGCAGGTGGATTGCCGAGCCGCGTTGGGGTCAAGCCCGGACTCCTTGGAGTCCAAGCTGGACAGTCCCACCATCTTCAACAACGAGCAGACGCAAGTCTGACGGTCCCCAGGGTGGGGGACTGAAGAAGGGGCACCCTTGGGTGCTGCCATATCGAATAACAGCCGAGGTTGCCTCCTGTGGGCTGCTGGGTCACAGCATGTGCCCAGATGCCTGGGACCCCACTTCTCTAGGTACCTTCCAAATATATCACCAGCCTGAGACCCAGATACACAGACTTGAGCGTCTGTGGTGGACAAAAGCAGGCAGTCGTATACCTCTGCCCACAGAACTGGCACCGCTACTGATAATTTATGCTGGGAGCCAGGTGCTGCCCAGGGACCCTCCTGTAAATAACCCCTCTCTGCTGTGGTTTACATTCCAGTGGAGAGACAGGCTGTAGGCAGGTAAAAGGCAAAGGGGGTGAGGAGACAGAATGGAGACAAGGGCTCCCTGAGGAGCCACTTCAGCGCCCAGACCTGGTAGGAAGAGTGAAATGTTACACACCATAAAAATTCCCATTTAATGCGAACCATTCAGTGATTTTTCTTGGTATATAGAGTTGTGCAACTATCACTGCAGTGAATTTTTACTTATTTAAACATTTTTTATTGAATCTAGAGAGAGCGAGCAAGGGAGAAACATCGGTTTGTTGTGCCACTTATTTATGCATTCATTGTTTTGGGTTTTTTTTTTTTAGATAGAGTGGGAGGGAGAGAGAGGAAGAGAGAGAGAAACATCGATGTGAAAGGGACACATCAAGTGGCTGCCTCCCTCACGACCCAACCAGGGCTAGAGAGAAACTGCAACCAAGGTACATGCCCTTAGCAAGAACCGAACCCGGGTCTCTCTGGACCACAGGCCAACACTCTAACCACCGAGCCAAACCAGCCAGGGCATTGATTGATTCTTGTATGTGCCCTGATAGGGGATCAAACTGGAAAAAAAAAACTTTCAGCTACAATAGCGAGAATCTGGGACCCACAAAATTAACATAAAAATTTGCTGGATGCTAAAGTACCCCCAAAAGAGTTTCAGAATGGCTTTTCTCAAACCACTAAAAAAAGTCCAAACCTACTGAAAAGGATACATTTATTACAAAATAATGCAGACAAGTAACTTAAATAAGTTTACAGTACATTGGTACTTGATCATATGGCATTCACATCTGTGAGAATATTTCATGTACCTTTTTGGGGGATAAAACGTGATCTCAATTTTATATTTTTAATATTGGTATGATTATGTCATGTAAAGGTGGAGAAAAAAGCATTCTAGGCAGAGAGAAAAGAACACATTAGGTGTGTTTTGATGATGCAAGAAACAAAACTAGAAACAGTGGGTAGGTACTATCAAGGAACAGGAAGTCAAGATTTGGTAACATCATTACTATCATTCAGAGCTTCATGGTTTTCCACTTGATAATTACTGCTGGGAAAACTCAAACATCAGATGTGTTCTTGGACCAGATAAGCCATGTACCTTGATCAAACGATTTACACACAGATCACAAAACTTTGCACTGAGACAGATGAGTATGCATGGTGATTCCATACAGATGCCACGTGCATGTGTGGAACACTGTGATCACTTTTAAGGGAGTATTAGCATCAATCTGCACCATTAATAAACACTCCCTAAACCAAAAAATGTAATATAAAATAATGATAAACTCTCACTGCAGTTGGCTCTTTTATATGAAGGTCATTTAATGCCTGGTTGGTGTGGCCCAGTGGCTTGAGCATCATCCCATGGACTGAGAGGTCCCTGGTTCAATTCCCCATCGGGATACATGCCTGGGTTGTAGGCTCGGTCCCTGGTAGGGGGTGTGCAGGAGGCAGCTGCTTGATGTTTCTCTCTCACATCGATGTTTCAATCTCTCTCTTCCTTCCTCTCTACAAAATTTTAAAAGTTTTTTAAAAAGAAAGGTATTTATTGGGTTTTCACCAATTGGAACTTCTGGTTTAGAATCTTAATTCTTGGACACAAGTCACACCCAAATCTACTACATTGTCCCACTTCTCTCTTCTATGGGTTCTATAATGTTAGTGGGTACTCATGGCTACATTGATCATCTCATTTCCCTAGTGTTAGGATGATCTGAGGAATGTACTATATGTGAAGGTGTGTGCATAAATGTCATCTTGCTCATGAATATGATTCAGTCAAGTGTAGGAAGGGATGAACTATGGCTTAAGGCTTCCTACGTCCTAGCTTGTGTAGTGTGCCTCTACCCAGTATGAGTTCTCTGGTGCTTGGTCAGGGAGGAGCTATGTGTGAAGGCCTTTCCACAGTCCCTGCACTCATAAGGCTTCTCTCCTGTGTGGATCCTCCGGTGCTGAGTGAGATGTGTGCTCTGCTTGAAGGATTTCCCACAATCTGGACATTCATATGGCTTTTCACCAGTATGTGTCCTCTCATGCTGGTTGAGTGATGAACTATGACTGAAGGACTTCCCACACTCGTTGCAACCATAGGGCTTTTCCTTGGTGTGTATCCTCTGGTGTTCTATGAGGAGGGAGCTCTGGCTGAAGGCTCTACCACACTCATTACACTCATAGGGCTTCTCTCCTGTGTGGATCCTCTGATGCTGAATGAGTGAAGCAAGCTGTCTGAAGGCCCTGCCGCATTGGTTACACTCGTAGGGCTTCTCCCCGGTGTGGATTCGCTGGTGATTGGTTAGGGATGAGCTGTGACTGAAGGCTCTGCCACAGTCAGTGCATTCATAGGGTTTCTCCCCTGTGTGGATCCTCTGATGTTGACTGAGGTGTGTGCTATGCCGGAAAGCCTTCCCACACTGACTGCACTCATAGGGCTTCTCTCCAGTATGTGTCCGCTTGTGGTGGCTGAGTGATGAGTTGTGGCTGAAGGTTTTTCCACACTCATTGCACCCAAAGGGCTTCTCTCCTGTGTGAATTCGCTGATGTTTGTTCAGGAGTGTGCTCTGGCTGAAGGCTTTCCCACACTCATGGCACTTGTAGGGCTTCTCTACTGTGTGAATCTTCCGATGCTTATTCAGGAGTGTGCTCTTGCTGAAGGCCTTCCCACACTGACTGCACTCATAGGGCTTCTCACCTGTGTGACTTCTCTGGTGCTGGATCAATGGAGCAGTTTGGTTCAAGGTCCTCTCACACTGTGTGCACTTACAGGGTTTCTCACCAGAGTGGATTCTATGGTGTTTGGTAAATGCAGAACTTTGAAAGCCTTTTCCACATTCGTAACATTCATAAGGTCTCTCTCCTGTGTGCGTTTGTGTGGCGCTGTGACTAAAGGCAGTTCCACATTCCTGACATCTATAGGGTTTCTCTTCTGCATGGGTTTTCTGCTGCACATTTAACTTTAAATCTGGAGCCTTCCTGTTTCTATGTGATCCACAACTGTGGGAGTCTCGTCTTTCAGGAGTCATGGGTTGAGTTTGGAGAATGGGACTCAGACTTAAGTTTTCCCAAAACCCAATAGCAGGCTGCTGATCCTGAATGGATGTCTTCACAGGTGTGAAGGCCACCTGTACCACACTGCCATAAAGGCTCTCACAACTTTGTTCCCAGTGGCCCTCGGCAACTTCACCCTTTGAGTCCCACAGACCATCCCACAGGAACCTTTCTACCAGGACATTGTTGGACAGTTCCTCAGAGGTGCCTTGCTTTGGAGCAGAACGCTTGGTTTTCAATCCAGTTTCCAAGTCTGAAAGAAACAAAATATGGAATTGTCCCCCAATCACTGTTACGGGAGGAAATGTTTATTGGTGAATACGTGAACAGAAGAATTAAACTGACAGTTTTGAAAGACAGGACCCCACGGGCAGGGCCTTTGCCCAACTTACTTACCATAGTACCCCACAGACAAGAGATCCAACAGACACGCTGGATGTAAAACACATGCAGCCCCTCCCCCTCCTTCCTGAAAGGATGTCCTTCCTGCCCAGGTACCCAGTCACAACCCCAACACTGCCCTGGTCAAAAGGTGTGACATGAGCACCTTTCTCATCACTCTAGTGAAAAATTAAGGGGGATAAAAACAGTCTAGTCAAGTGCAATTAACAGAATAGTGTTTCCCAATGATAACCACATCCTAAGCCTGCAACCTGTGAATATACTGTCACCTTACATGTGAATGAGGAATTAAGGTTGCTAATCTTTGACATTAGCTGGTCACCTGAGATTACCTGGATTTTCAGAGCTGCCCCATATAACCACAGGGTTCTTAAATGTGCAACAGAGGCAGGAGGGTTAGGGTCAGGGTGACGTGTGAAGTCCTGACCAGCCACTGATGACACTGAACATGGACAAGGCCATGTGTCCAGGAATGTGGAAGCCTCTAGAGGCTGGGCAAAGAAAGGACATGTCTTCTCCCAGACCCTGCAGAAGGAACAATGTCCTACTGACACGTCGAATGTAACCCAGTCAGACCAGTTTGGGCTTCTGACCTCTAGAAGAGTAAGATCATCTGTGTTGCTTCAAATACATTTGTTACAGTAGCACTAGAAGCTAATATACTGGGTGAAGACTAGGATTATTTGAAACAAGGGAGACCTTGCTGTGAACCCCTCACATATATGTCCATCCTTCCTGGTCAATACAAGTATGAAGAGCAGAATCACCCAGCCAACCTATAGGCCCATGGAAGAGCCCAGCCTAGAGCCACTTACCCACAGATGTGTGAGTCATAGTGAGTCTCTGGTTTAAAGTACAGGGGCTAGGCTGTCTAATACACAGTAAAAGACCTGCATCACCCCAGTGCCTTTGCACTTGTTTCCTCTACCTGGAATCCTGTTCTCCCAAACTGTTTCATGGTGGTACTGTTCTCATGGTTCAGGCTTCACCACTCATGTCACCTCCTTTGAGAAGTGGACCCTCCTCTCTCTGCTCAAGTACTCCCCCTAATTCTAGTCTATCTCATCACCCGCTTTCACTTTCACAACATTCATCATAATTTGTCATCCTCTCTTTCACTGTTATTATTATTACTTTATCTATTCATTGTGTGCCCTTCTCCTTCAGAAAAATGTAAATTCAGTGTAGACAGGATCTTGGTCTCATTCATAACAGAATGGTGCTTGCTAAAAGTTCACTAAAAGAATGAGTAGTCAGTTTGCTCCGAAGAATTTGACAGCAGATAGAGAGAGACCTGGCGGGCTGAGTGAACTCTTCTTAGCCCTACACACTCTCATCTCACCTGGACACACACCTTGTGGAACTTCCTTATCCACTGGCCACGGCTCCCCCTCCTGCTCCAGCAGGGAGATGAGGGGTGGCTTCGGGATCCAATGTCCTGCTCAGGGGGAGACCCAGGGTGTTAGCATTTGTGTCCCAGGGCCATTCCCAACTCTGCACACTCCATCTTACTCTTCCAGGACCCAAGTGGCTGGTAACCCAGGCAGGCCTCAGTATTTTTGGTAATAACATCCTCCAGTGTTCCTCTACTCACTCTCAGTCCCTGATCCCACCCCTGACACTGGAGTAGATATGTGATGCTGGCCTGTCCACTCAGTGAGAGCTCTTCTTCCACTGCTCACTGGCACCAGATCAATGTGGATGGGACCTGTTAGCTGAAACAAGACAATCTAAGGGTCTTCCTTGGGCACCCTTGGACCCTGGCAACTATCTTGTCACTTTTCAAAGGTCCCCTCTGTGAATGGTGACAGAAAGAGGTGCAGAGGGAGGAGGGGGCTCCTGACAGCAACACAGGAAGACCCAGGTCTAGCCTGGGACTCTGCAGTTCCGGGACCCAGTATGTTCCTCTTACTCATGATGTTCTGCCTGTGGCATTTTCATGTGGCATCTGTAACTTGTAGGTAAAACGTCCTCACTGACGTTCCCTAAACTGAAACAGTCTAGTCTCCCAGGCCCAAGACACATTCCAGTTACCTGCTTTTAATGCCTAGACCTACCCCAACTTTTACCCCAGGAGAATTAAAGACCACACTAGGGAAAGACCATAAGGAACACAAGTGAGGCCTTACCCACAGAGACCAGGAGCTCCAAGGTCTCCAGCATCACATCACGGTACAGGGTCCTCTGGGCCAGTGTTAGCTGTCCCCACTCCTCCTGGGTGAAGTCCATGACCACGTCGTCAAAGGTCACTTGCTCCTGGAACATCACACAGGAGTTTCCTCAGCGAGGGCAAGCCTCGCACTGGCTGCTGGTGGGAGCAGCTGGTGAAGCAGGAGAAGGCCAAGTTGGTTGGTTGGGAGTTCTCTCAAGTCTGGGAGGCTAAGTGTGACGGAGGTGGTATACTCACCAGGAACCCCGCATCCAGGAGTCCAGCAGTCATTCCCTCCTTTTCTGGTCTCTTTCAAGAACAGCCAGCTCCTCTGTAGGCAGTTCTGGGAGGAAAGGGTATGTGAGACACTGAGCTGATGTCCCTGGTGACCAGAGACCCCTAGGACGAGAACCCCTACCTCGAGGTACATAAAAGGAACTGTGGCCCTGGCCAGTTTGGCTCAGCAGTTGGAGCATTGGCCTGCAGACCAGAGTCCCAGGTTCGGTTCCCACTAGGGACATGTACCTCGGTTGCAGTTTGTCCTTGGCCCTGGTTGGGATCGTGTGGGTGGTGACCGCTCGATGTGTCTCTCTCTCCCTTCCTTCCTCTCTCCCTCCTGCTCTATCTCAAGATAAATGAAAAGGTATCCTCGGGTGAGAATTAAAAAAAAGGAGCTGTGGGTGCCAGAACCTGGAAGCCAGTGTCCAGGCCAAACTCAATAGCAGTGAGCCTCAGCTTGGCACTTCCTGAGCACCTGCTGTGAGGCAGTGCTGTTGCAGACACTGTTCGAGAATGATCGCACATTTACCCATGCCACTGCAAAGATAGGAAAACTGAGGACCAGGGTAAGCAAGGGACACACCCCTGGTTACACAGATGACTTCCAGAGTGATGACTGTTTTTCTTATAATAAAAGGAAGCCAAACAGTCCTGGGTTCATGGGACAATGCTTGGCGTGCCTCAGTTTCCCTCCCCACTAAAATGAGGGTGGTGATCTGGCATGGAGATTACCAGATTTAAACTGTGCAAATGTCTGAACACAAAGCAGAGCAGCAGCATACACATGATGGCAACTGTTGCCAGAATGGAAGTCTCATGTTTCAGTGAACAGGTATTTAACCTCTAAGCATATGTTTTCGGTGGTTTACAAGCTTGACCCTGATTGCCCAAAATGAAACTCAAGGCCAAGGTACGATGCATTTCCCTTGTGTCTGTACCTTCCCTTGGTGACCTTGACTGTGCATCCCAATTCTGCCTGAGCTGGTTTTTGCTATGTTGTCCTGACCGCAGTTTTCAGGATAGGAGCTACCTGGCTGTGAGTTCACTGTTGTTTTGTCTTTTCTTTTTTATATGCCTTTTTTCTTTTTTTTTTAGGGGCCTGCAGAAAACACCTGTGAAGCCTACTTTTTGAAGGAAAGAAGATGGAGAAAGAGGGAAAACAGAGAAAAAAAGAAGGAATGAAAGAAAGAAAGAAGGGAGGGGAGGAGAGATAGGAAGGGAGAAAGGAGGGAGGGAGACAGGAAGGAAGGATCATTGTTTTTTCATCTCCCTGACCACCCCCACTTCATGCACTCTGAAGGGCACAGACTATGTTGGGGTTTATGCAGACGCTGGTGGGCATAATAGAGGGCCTGGCACTCAGGACTTTTAAATACATGTTTGATTCATTAATAATGAAGCCTGACCTTGCCTCCTCAGTGTGTCTCAGTGGCTAGAGCGTGGGCCAGGGGACCAAAGGGTCGAGGGTTGGATTCCTGTCAAGGACATGTACCTGGGTTGTAGGTTGATCCCTGACCCCTGTTCAGGGTCCTGCGGAAGGCAACCAATGATGTGTCTCTCCCCCATTGATGTTCCTCCCTCTCTCCCTCCTCTCCCTTCCACTCTCTCCAAAAATCAATGGGAAAAACAAACAAACTCCGGTGCAGATTAACAACAACAAAAGGAGCCTGGACAGTGCCTGGCACGCAGTCAATGCTCAGAGTTTAATACAATGAGTCTGTTTCCTGGGTTCCAGTCGGCTGGGATTAAAATCTTGTGTTTTTGGTCTTCCCCCTCCTTCACCTTTAGGGAGAGAGGCCCGTTAGGAAGGTGAAAGCTGCATTTGACTCCCTGGTGAGACCTCGACCTTCCCCCCCCTCGGAATCCCGACGGTTCCACCACAGCGGGGGAGGGATGCAGGTCGGGTGCGGTCTCTGAACGGTCCTATCGGCTGTCTCGGAGCTAGGGGACTCCGACTCGGTGCCAAGGCGAGGACCCCACCCCGGCCCCAACCCTTCATTTCGGGCCCAGGGCCCCCTTACCTGGCCCCGCCCCCGCCATCTGCAAAGCCTCGCTCCCCTGAACGCCCCCGGCCCAAGGGAATGAAAGGAACAAGTCAGTCGCGTCGGCTGGATACACACCTCGTCGGGAACCCAGGGCAGACGCCGGACCCCCAAACCGCACAGCCTCCACCGCCCTGGCAACCCCCGATCTCACTTGCCCGAACCCAGTACGCAGCCTCCACCGGCGACACTGCGCCTGCGCAGGCGGGGACAAGGCGCACCTCCCAGGAGGCCGTGGGCTCCCAACCGGAACACTAGGCTCGGCCCGTCCCAAGCAGGACTTTAGAACTGCTTCAGCAACGCTCGGAATCCGACCGCGGCCCCGAGGACTGCGGCCCGACGCAGCCGCCCCGCCGCGACCCGGATCACTCACTGTTAGCGGGCGGCACCGAGGCGGTGCCCACCGCTAGTCGGCGAAGGAACTACATCACCCAGAGGGAGGAGCGCGCGCTTCCGGTCTCTTCTGTGCCTCGCCCAGGGCAGTTAGGCTGGGATCTGAGCTTGGTTCGCAGAGCCCGCCGGCTCCGGCTCACCCCCCGCCCCCCAAACCTCCCACTCCGTACTCGGGTCGAAACCCAAATGACGGGGACGTCCGCCAAGGGCTAGGTCTGCGCTTGCGTCGCTGGGCATTGAACTACAACTCCCAGAAGGCCACGCGTGAGGCCCGTGTGCATCTTTCCCCGCCCGTGAGAACATTCATGATCGAAAGTCGGTTCCTGGCACCTGTACCCGTGTCCCCGCCTAAATATTTGCCGCCCGCCGCAGCATGATGCTCTTTATTGTAGTCGCCTCAGCCTGGACAAGAAACAGTGATACAGAAAAGAAGACGGGGACAAAAACGGGGGATACTGACAGGTGCGATTGTTCCCTGGGTTTCGTTCCAGGAGAAAGAGAATTGGACCGGTCTGGGTCAGTCTGGACACACTTCATTACCCTCCCAATATACAGAGACTCTCGGACAGTGACGTAACATTTAAACGTGTTTCTTTGTCGAATACAGAAGACACGTTGTCACGTTTATTTTCATTTAGACTCAGGAAGGTGTATTTATGAAAGTGGCATTTTTGAAATCCCTGCTCAGGTCCTAAGACCTGCTGAGGCCCACCTCGTTGCCGCATGCTCTGGGGGTTTGGGGTCAAGGCCTGTCATAATGGACTACAGCTCCCAAGAGCCTACGGTCCCTCGACGCTGATTTTCTGGCGTCTCCCACGGTGTCCCAGTAACTGGAGAGACAATGGTACCAGGAGCCTGCTGGGAGGAGTAGTACGGGGCTCTGGGTGTCCGAGAGCCACCTGGTGGGCACAGTTAATGTAAACATGATTCCCTATAACTTCCCGGAAATCTCACACCCCGGCTTCCTGGACTCTGCCAAGCCGTCCAGTTCCGCCCTTCTGGAGGTCAGGAGCCAACTCAAAGGCTGACTAACATTGATAGTGAGAGAAAGCCTTCCCAGTGGCCTTAGTCCTGGCTGTGTGGCTGGACCACAAGTCTCGCAAAGACTTGTCCCCCGCACAGGTCCTATAGTGCTCCCGCACTGGTTAGACACCCACACCACTGTGCTTCCTGGGAAATGTTGGGCTCCACAGTGAGGACGCGGGCACCTCTGAAATCGACATATTAATTTGTTTTACTGAATCCTAAAATACCTTTTAAATGGTTTCAGAATTGTCATTCACAAACCCAACCTACTGACAAAATGTCAGGATTTTTTTTTTTTTTTTTTTTGCTATTCCCTTAATCGCCACCAATCTGTAAAGCTCCTAAGTGGATGATTTGCTCAGCAAACTGGCAAAAATATAGCCAAATGTTCCCACTTATTTTCATGGGGAGCTGGGTGGGCTCAGGCATTAGTGGCAGTAGATCTGTGCTGAGGGTCTCAAGTACTGTCCAAAGGTACTGGGAGAGTGAGCATTGACTAAAGTGCAGAAAATGGAAGCCACCAGAAGGTGGCCCAGGTCTCACCAATGGAGTCGGGAAGCTGGAAAGTGTACAGACCATAAGGCGCTGAGCCAGGACTCAGAAGGACAGAAGATATCTGGAGGGCAAGAGGCAGCACCAGGTAGGCTAACCCAAAGGATGGGTGGAATTCCTTGGGTAGGGGAAAGTAAATCACGTCCATGAAAACCAGGCATTTCAATGGGAAGAAATGCCTAAATACTGTTATAAACTGAATTGTGTCTTCCTTCTCCTCATACATATTTTGAAGCCTGAACTCCCAATGTGACTATATTTGGAGATAAGACATTTAAGGAGGTAATTAAGGTTAAATGAGGCACACATATATCTGGGGTAGACTGAGACCCAAAGGGGGGTAAATGCTCAGTCTTGCAGCACCTTGTCTGCCACGGTCAGGGTTGTCTCTTTATCTGAAGAGTTGTAGGAACTTCACTCACTGGAGGTTATCAGGCAAGACTGACCCAATTGTATTTGTATTAAAAAAGATTCTCTCCCAGAATGTTATTAGTTACTGTTGCCATGTGACAGTAGTCAAGGTTGCAGGTCACCATTTAAGGGTCATGGTTGTCAGGGAGACTACTTTTGGAGGATTTAGGGGTCAGTGAAATACAGTGGACCTTCAAGTTAAGTTATATAGAAATAAAAGCTTATTAAATACCAGGTAAAGAATCAATGAAAACGTGCTTCAAGTAAGGATTAACTTAATACAGTTCTCAAACAGCTAAATCTTGCAAAATATTAGCATCCAATATGGAAGTCCTGTTGCTGATGAGATGGGACTTAGGAAAAATCTTGCTCTTTTTGTGCAATGGCACCATCTGCCTATCTAATGCCTGCAAGTCCTGTAAAGAAAGTTAGAACAGAGCAGCAAAAGCCATCATCACAGAACCTAAAAGGCTCCATGGAAGTTACATTTAAAGACTTCCTATGTGAATGTTTTCAATTGCATGGCCAATAAGGAGTAATATTGCAAAATAATTCAGATAACTAAAATGTTTATAAACTTGACACTCTGTCATATGGGATTGGAGTCTGTGAGGCTATGTGCCATGTACCTTGATAAACAATTACAGATAAAAAAAAAATTTCATAGTGGGACAGTTGAGGATGCATGGTGATTCCATACAAATGCCACTCGCATGAACAGAATATTCTGCCATATTGTTTGTAGCGAGTATCAGTCAATCTGCACCATTCATAAACTCCCCAACCCAAAGAATGCATTTTTTCTTTCATCCCTTCTCTATTTTTAAAAATTTACTATTCTTACAGATGTTTCCCCTTTTCCCCCCATTGACAGCCTCCTCTTGATCCAGCTCCACCCCCACCCCCAGCATTGTTGTCTATGTCCATGGTTATGCATATAAAGAATGTAATGTACAATAATGTAAAATCTTACTGGAGTTGGTTCTATCATATGAAAGGCTTTTATTGGGTTTTCACTAATTGGAACTTCTGGTTTAGAATCTTGTGAATTCTTGGACAGAAGTTACACCCAAATCCACTACATTTTCCTACTTCTCTCTTCTGTGGATTCTATAAAACAGCTTTGATGGTCATTCACATCTGAAGGTCCTCAACATTGATCATCTCCACATTTCCCTACTGCTAGGATGATCTGAGGAGTGTACTGTATGGGAAGACATGTATATACATGTCATCTTGCTCATAAGTATCATTGGGTAAAGTGTAGGATAGCATGAACTATGGCTTAAGGCTTCCTATGTCCCAGCTCATGTAGCGTGCCTCTACCCAGTATGAATTCTGTAGTGCCTGGTCAGGGAGGAGATGTATGTAAAGACCTTCCCACAGTCCCTGCACTCATACGGCTTTTCTCCTGTGTGGATCCTCCGGTGCTGAGTGAGGTGAGTGCTCTGCCTGAAAGATTTCCCACAATCTGGACATTCATATGGCTTTTCTCCGGTGTGTGTCCTCTCGTGCTGTCTGAGAGATGAACTGTGACTGAAGGACTTCCCACACTCGTTACAAGCATAGGATTTTTCCTTGGTGTGTATCCTCTGGTGTTCTATGAGGAGGAAGCTCCGGCTGAAGGCTCTGCCACACTTGTTCCAGTCACAGGGCTTTTCTCTCATGTGGATCCTCTGATGCAGAATAAGTGAAGACAGCTGTCTGAAGTCCCAGCCACATTCCTTACACTCATAGGGCTTCTCCTCAGTATGCATTCGCTGATGTTTGGTTAGGGATGAGCTGTGGCTGAAGGCCATCCCACAGTCACTGCACCAATAGGGTTTCTTTCCTGTGTGGATTCTCTGATGCTGAATGAAAGAAGAAAGCCTGCTAAAAGCCCTGTCACATTCCTTACACTCATAGGGCTTCTCTCCCGTGTGGATTCTCTGATGCTCATTGAGTGGAGTGAGGTGGCTGAAGGCCCTGCCACATTCGTTACACTCATAGGGTTTCTCTCCTGTGTGGATCCTCTGATGCTGAATGAGTGAAGTGTGTTGTCTGAAGGCCCTGCCACATTCGTTACACTCAAAGGGCTTCTCCCCGGTGTGGATTCGCTGGTGTTTAGTTAGGGATGACCTGTGGGTGAAGGCCCTGCCACAGTCACTGCACTCATAGGGTTTCTCCCCTGTGTGGATCCTCTGATGTTGACTGAGGTGTGTGCTGTGCCGGAAGGCCTTCCCACACTGACTGCACTCATAGGGCTTCTCTCCAATATGCATCGGCTCATGGTGGCTCGGGGAGGACCTAAAACTAAAAGAACTCCCACATTCACAGCAACCATAGCGCTTCTCTCTTGTGTGAATCCTCTGATGCTTGTTCAGGAGTGTGATCTTGCTGAAGGCTTTCCCACACTGACTGCACCCATAGGGCTTCTCACTTGTGTGAGTTTTCGGGTGTTGGATCAGTGGGACAGTTTGGTTGAAGGTCCTTCTGCACTGCTTGTGCTTACCGGGTGTTTTACCAGTGTGTATTCTATGGTGTTTGGTAAGTTTTGAGCTGTTTCGAGAGCCTTTTCCACATTCCTGACATCTGTAAGCTTTTTCTTCTGCGTAAGTTTTCTGTTGTGCACTTAAGTCTGGATTCTTACTTTTCCTATGTGTTCTACATGTGTGGGAGCCTCCCAGAGTCATGGGTAGAGTTGGGAGATGGGGACTTACACTTAAGTTTTCCCCAAAGCAATTCCCGGGCTGCTGCTGCTGAACGGATGTCTTCACAGGTGTGAAGGCCACCTGCACCTCACCACCATCAAGGCTCTCACAACTCTGATCCCGATGTCCCTCAGTGTCTTCACTCTTAGAACCCCACAGACCATCCCACAGGAACCTTTCTACCAGGACATTGTTGGATAGTTCATCAGTGTTGTCTTGCTTTGCAGCTGACAGTGTAGTTTTTGATCTAGTTTCCAAGTCTGAAAGAAAAAATAAATTGGAATTGTCCCTCAATCACTGTTCCAGGAGGAAAAGTTTGTCAGTGGATAGGCAGATGGGAGGATTAAGCTGACAGTTTTCAAAGGTTCAAGACTTCAGTGGCTTTGGTCATTTAACCATAAGATTTTGCAAACCAAAGAAGGAACAGAAGAGGAGGAGGGAAAGTATAGAGAACGGAGGGGAGTTGGGGTAAAAGGTACAAATGGAGTTGGCAAGGAAGGCACAGATAATTTGGTCTGAAGAAGATGCTGAGAAAACAATGAGCCTTCAGGAAAAATGTCAACAGATGCCCAGGTTTGGAGGGATCAGGGTGATGGCTAGGCTCAGGCTATCGCAGCCTCCACAAAACCAGGTGGTGGCAGAGGAAAAGCCACCATATGGGAAAGACCACTCAGCCCTCCTATTGTCTCTTCTTGGAGGCCCCTCACTGTTGTACCACCTCACCCCAGATGTAAAGAAACACATCAGCTCTCCAGACTGGATACTGCTAAAATATCCATCACCAAGGGAATGGATAAATGACTGTGGTGCATTAGAGCCTTTTGAGCTGGTTTATTCTGTTTGTCTCCCTAATGGGAGGACCCCATGGGAACAGCCTTTGTCTGTATTACTCACCACTGAACCCCACATAAAACCGAGGTGGGCAGACATGATGAATGAAAAATATGCAATACCTACCCCTCTTTCCTGAAAGGATAACTTTTCTGCCCAGGTACCAGCCTCCACCCCAACACTGCATACCATACCCACTCAGACTGGGTACAGAACCCGCAATCTTAGAAAGTTCCTAACCGGAAATCGAACCCAGTCAGGAACGACGCTCCAACAAACTGTGCCAACCAGCCATAGCCAGCCATTTGTGGTCATTTATTAAAGGAGCAACATAGGGGTAATATACTGGGTGAAGGCTGGTTATTATTTGAGTTATTTGAGGTAGAGGAGACCCTACTCTGACACCCTCCCACACACATCCCTTCCTGGACAGTGGTGATGGACCACTGTTTACATGGGGTCAGGGCCTCACGCCAGTGGTGAATTGCTAGCCAGAGGGCCAGGACTCCCCTACTTCCTACTCAGGTGTCTGCCTGTCTTGGGATCTGGAGCAGAACCACCCCCCCAACCTATGGGCCCATGGAAGAGCCCAGCCTAGAGCCACTTACCCACAGATGCATGTGTCATAAGGGAGTCTCTGGTTTAAAGCACAGAGGCTGAACTGTCTGTTACACAGTAAGAGACCTGCATCACCCCAGTGCCTTTGCACTTGCCATTTCTTCTGCTTATAATTCTATTCTCCCAGATCATTTCATGGTGGCACTATTCTCATGGTTGAGGCTTCACCTCCTACAGCACCTTCTTTCGAGAGATGAGCCCTCACCTCTCTGCTCAAATCCTACCCCAAATTCCAGTCCACCTCATCATCTGCTTTCACTTTCTCAACATTCATCATAATCTATAGTCATCTCTTTCACTGTTATTATTATTACTTTATTTATTTATTACGTGCCCCTCTCCCTCACCACAAATGTAAATCAATGAAGACAGGATATTGGTCTTATTCATAGCAGAACAGTGCTTGCTGAAAGTTCACTGAAAGAATGAGTAGTCAGTTTGCTCCAAAGAATTTGACAGCAGATAGAGACACCTGGAGGGATGAATGGGCTCCTCCTACCCCTACACCCTCTATCTCACCTGGACATACACTTTGTGGAACCTCCTCATCCACTGGCCATGGCTCCGCCTCCTGCTCCAGCAGGGAGATGAGGGGTGGCTTCGGGATCCAATGTCCTGCTCAGGGGGAGACCCAGGGTATTAGCATTTGTGTCCCAGGGCACTTCCCTACTCTCTGCCCATTTCATCTTACTCTTTTGTCTTTTATTTATTTCTTTATCTTTCTTTATTTATTTTTGTTACAGATGTTTCCCCTTTTCCCCCATTTACACCCTCCTCCCTCTCCCTTGCCTCCCTGTCCCCAGCTTTGTTGTCCATGTCCATTGGTTATGCGTACATGCATATAAGTTCTGTGGTTTATCTCCCCACTCCCCCATCTTACTCTTCTAGGACCCAAATGGCTGGTAACCCAGGCAGGCCTCCGTAATTTTGGTATAACATCCTCCAATGTTCCACCACTCACTCTCAGTCCCTGACTCCAGCAGGGAGATGAGGGGTGGCCAGCCTAGAGCACCCCCCGGCACTGAGGTAAATATGTGATGCCAGCAAGTCCACACAGTGGCAACAATGACCAGTGTGGATGGGACCTATTAACTGAAACAAGACAATCCAAGGGATTTCTTGGACCTTCCTTGGGCTTTCTTGGACCCTGGAAACTGTCCTGTTACCTTCAGAGGGCCAATCTATGAATGGCGACAGAAGGATGTGCAGAGGGAGGAGGGAGGTCCTGACAGCAACACAGGAAGACCCAGGTCTAGCCTGGGACCCTGCAGTTCTGGAACCCAGTATGTCCCTCTTACTCTGAGCTGTCCTACCTCTGGCATTTTCGGGTGGGATCTGTAACTTGCAGGAAAAACATCTTCACTGATATTTCCTAAACCACAATGGTCTGGTCCATCAGGCCAAGACACATTTGAGTTATCTGCTTTTATTTATTTATTTTATCCTCACTCGAGGACATTCTTTCATTTTTTGTTCAGATAGAGTGGGAGGGAGAGAGAGAGAAACACCGACGTGAAAGGGACACTTCGAGTGGCTGCCACCCACACAACCCAACCAGGGCCAGGGACAAACTGCAACCGAGGTACATGCCCTTAGCAGGAACCGAACCCGGGTCTCTCTGGACCGCAGGCTGATGCTCTAACCGCTGAACCAAACCAGCCAGGGTGAGTTATCTGCTTTTAATGCCTAGACTTACCCCTACTTTTACCAGAAGCGAATTAAAGTCCATTCGGGTGAAAGAACATGAGGAACACAGGTGATGCCTTACCCACAGAGACCAGGAGCCCCAAGGTCTCCTGCATTACATCACGGTACAGGGTCCTCTGGGCAGGTGTCAACTGCCCCCACTCCTCCTGGCTGAAGTTCACGAACACGTCATCAAAGGCCACTTGCTCCTAGAACATCACACAGGAGTTTCCTCAGCCAGGGCAGGCCTGGCACTGGCTGCTGGTGGGGGCAGCTAGTAAAGCGGAACAAGGCCAATCTGGTTTGGCAGAGATGGTGTTCTCCCAAGGGTGAGGGTGGTGGTGTACTTACCAGGGCTGTACCATTGAGGATCCCTGCAGTCATTCCTTCCCCCTCTGGTCTCTTACAGGAACAGCTGTTTCCACTACAGACAATTCTGAGGGGAAAAGGGATGTGAAACACTGAGCAGACTTCTGTGGTGACCACAGACCCCCAGAACGAGAACCCCTACCTCGAGGTACATAGAAGGAGCTGTGGCTGCCAGAACCTGGAGGCCAGTGTCCAGGCCAAACTCAGTAGCATTGAACCTCAGCTTGGCACTTCCTGAGCACCTGCTGTGAGGCAGTGCTGTTGCAGACACTGTTGAAGAATGATTGCACATTTACCCATGCCATTGCAAAGACAGGAAAAGTACGGACCAAGGTGGGCAAGGGACACACCCCTGGTTACACAGACAACTTCCAGGGTGTTGACTGTTTCTGTTATCATAACAGGGAGCCAGACAGTTCTGGGTTCCCTGGGCACTGCTTGGTGTGCCTCAGTTTCCTTCCCCCTTAAAATAAGAATGCTGACCCGACATGGAGATTACTAGAATTAAAGTGAAAATGTCTGAACACGGAGCACAGCAGCCGTATACACACGATGGGAACTGTTGCTGGGAGAGAAGTCTCACGTTTCAGTGAACACCCATTTTGCATCTATTTACCATCTAAGATATAATTACTATTTTGTGTTTCTGGTGGCTGGCAAGCCAACTCTGATTGCCCAAAATGAAACTCAGGCCCATGGTAGGATGTGTTTCTCTTGCGTCTGTACCTTCCTTTATGACCCTGACTATGCACCCAGATTCTGCCTCATCCCATTGGTGCTATGTTGTCCTGACTGCAGTATTCAGGATGGGAGTTACCTGGTTGTGATGTGTTCATGGGTTTTTTCATCATCTCCCTGTCCCCCACTCCCATCCCATGGAATCCAGAGGGTAGAGACTATGTTGTGGTCTTTGCAGAGGCTGGTGGGCCTAAGACGGGGCCTGGTACCCAGGACATCTAAATACGTGGTGAGTAATTAATGAAGGCGCCTAGATGGTGCCTGCCATGCAGTCAGTGCTCAATTAGTTTGTGGACAAAAGTGGGCCAAATGCTAACCTGACAAACTCAGGAAAGGTCTGTGTGGCGGCCGTGCAAACTCAGAGACCTAAAGTAACCACAAAAGATGGTCTCAATGTAAAACTTTTTTTTTTTTTATCCTCACCCGAGGACGTTTTTCCATTTTTTTTACAGATAGAGTGGGAGGAAGAGAGAGGAAGAGATAGAGAGAGAGAAACATCGATGTGAAAGGGACACATCGAGTGGCTGCCACCGCACGACCAACCAGGGTCGGGGACAAACTGCAACCGAAGTACATGCCCTTAGCGGGAACCAAACCCGGGTCTCTCCGGACCGCAGGTCGATGCTCTAACCGCTGAGCCAAACCAGCCAGGGCTGAATGTAAAACTTTTTAACTAAAAGCAGTTTATGGCAGATAGTCATGTCCCAGACTAAAATCTCCCCAGACAAGTCAATCTTTATCTTTACTGAGACTATTTAGTCTTTTGCATCTAAGATAACATACATCTGGAATGTCAGTGTAACTTCCCCTTCTCTGGATCCGTTAGGACATTAGAGCAAAGACTATAAATCCTCTAATTCTTATTCTTAGCGTGTTGTTGTCTATTAACCACCTTGTATCCACCTGTATAAAAGATATGAAGGTCTATCATTTTACCTTTACCCAGTTCCAGAGCCCACCCCTTTCCTGCTTTCTCAGGCCTCCCTAATCTGTCACCAATGAATTTCATGTAAACACTAATATCTTCTCATATATATATTCTTCCCCCGCCTCCCTCCCTCTCTTTGAGTCTCTAAAAATCAATGGAATTGTCTTCTCTTTTGATTGGGATGTATAACATAAGGTGCAAAACTGCCATTCTCTGGAGCGTTCTTGAATCCATTGAGATGTGCTTCTGGGCAGTTGACAGTTTTGCTCAAATAAACTCACAAAAATTCTCTACAGGTCCGAACGTTTCTCACGTTGACAAGTTTCATACAATGAGTCCCTTTTCGGGGTCCCAGTCACTGGAATGAAAATCTTGTGTTTTTGTCCCCTCCCCTACCCTTTAGGGAGAGGAAGGCCCCTCAGGAAGGTGACGCTACATCTGACTCATGGTAGAATCTCGGCCTTCCCCGACCGGGAATCCCGACCATCCCACCACAACACCTAAGGATGCAGGCCAGGCTCCCTCTGAAGGGTTGGTCCCTCTGCCTCTCCCATCGCTGCCAGAGCCGGGAGACCCCGCCCCTGCCCCAACCCCTCCTCTCGACCCCGGGTACCCGCCCACGCGCCCCGGAAGAGCCTCCCCACAAAGGAGCGAAAGCAACTTGACTCATTCGCGCGCGCAGTTGGGTACACACCACTGCCAGAACCACAGGGAAGGCGCCGGATTCCCCGCCAACCTGGACCTCGCCTACCTAACCAAGTACGCAGCCTCCACCTGGCCAGGACTGCGCCTGCGCAGGCGGGCTGATAGGTGCGCTTCCCAGAGTGCCGCGCGCCCCCAGGCGGATACTCCAGGCTTGGCCCTCCCTCGCCGGGGACGCTAGAACCGCTTCAGAAACGCTCGGAAAGCGAGCGCGGGCCTCGCGGACTCCTGCGGGTCCCTGGCGCCCCGCCATGACGCGGACCACTCACCGTTAGACGGCGGCAGGAGGCGCGACCACCACCAATGGGAAAGCGAACTACATCACCCAGAGGGCTCCGCGCCTCCTGTCGTTTCCGTATTCGCCCCACCCAGGGTGTTAGGCGGGGATCCGACCTCTGCTTCCAGATCCCGCCGGCCCCAGCCTCACCTTCGTACCCGAAACCTGCTCCGCACTCTGGTCGAAACCCAGGAAGAAGGTGAAGTCCGCCGTTGGCCAGGACTGCGCTGGCGTCGCCGAGCATTGGACTACAACTCCCAGAGGGCCACGCGTGACCTCCGTGCGCAGCTTGCAGCTTCCCACGGCGGTGGGGTGGGAATATTCGTGTCGGAAGTTCGATTGCTGGCGCATGTACTCATATCTCATCATAAATATTAACCGTTCCTCCCCTCTCACCCCCGCTCCTAGCTTGACGTTGTTTATGGTAGTCGCCCCAGGCTAGACAAGAAACTGACAAAAAAGGAAGGGATAAGAAGCGGGGAGACTGACATTAATTAAGGTGAGGTACGATTGTTCCCTCCTGGAGTGAGAAAGGAAAAGTATGGGTCTGGGTCAGGGAGGGAGACTTCATTAGCCTCCCAGTGTAGAGACCCCCAGACAGTGACATAACATTTTAAGTTTGTTTCTTTATGGAATATAGAAAGCACGTCGCGACATTTATGTTCACTTCCTCTCAGAAAGATATATTTGTGAAAGTGGGATGTTTGAAGGTGGGCTTAAGACCAAACACCCATAGAGGCTCACCAGCTTGCCGCTTTGCCTTCTGGGAGTTGTAGTTCCCAGCTTTGTGGTTATGAGGCCACTGCCTGTTACATTGGATTACAACCCCCAGGAGGCATCTCTACTATCTGAGGCCAATTTTCTGGTGTGGACCACTGGGATAAGTAGTTGGAGGGTCAGCCATGGGGAACCTTTTTCTTGCCAAGGGCCAATTGGATATTTATAGCATCATTCCTGGGCCATACAAAACAATCAACTTAAAATTTAGCCTGCTGCCCAGGCTGGTTCCGCTCAGCAGTTAGAGCCTGGGTCTGCTGTCCAGAGAGACCCAGGTTCAGTTCTCGCTAAGAGCATGTACCTAGGTTGCAGTTTGTCCCCGGCCCTGGTTGGGTCCTGTGGGTGGCAACCACTCGAAGTGTCCCTTTCACGTAGATGTTTCTCCCTCTCCCCCTCCCACTCTATCTGAACAAAATATGGGAAAATGTCCTTAGGTGAGGATAAAAACAAAAAAAAAATTAGCTTGCTATATTTGGCCAGGCTAATTTGGTGAGTTGTGTTATGTTAGTTGGTATTGATTTGGAAGATCTTATGCCCAGGCAGATGTTCCCTATCCCTGCTAGGTGTAGGAGATCCCCATGTGGTGGACACAGTCAATATAAACATTTTTTTTTCTACAACTCCTGGAATTCACAAACCTAGGTTTCATTGACTGCCTACCGTTTAATTCCAGAGGGTGGGGTGCCTGAGCAAGGATATTCTCTTAGAATTATAGTGAGAGAGCCTTCTAAGTGCGGACTAGGCCTGGCTGGTATCCTAGACTACCACTCCTAGAACTCTCCCATGCAGAAATTAGGGGCCAACCACTGTTCCACCACCATACAAGGTGTTTGACTGTGCACCTGGTGGACAAGGATAGAGTGGCCATGAATCCCTATAAATTCCGAAATTATCAAAACCTAGATTTCTTGAACTCTGGGGATCTGACTACAGCGCTATTCAGGAAGTCAGAACGCTGACCCAACTGTAATTTTTTGGAAATACAGTAAGAAAAAGCCTTCTAAGTGTGGCCTAGACTGTGTGGAGGAGCCTGGACTACAACTCCCCAAAAGATCTGCTCCAGGTGAGGCGGTTTTTCCATGGCTTCCACTGGGTTCTGCCTGTGGAAGTGCCACCCATATCTTGGAGGCATCTGGATGCAGAAGGAGACAATAGTGTCCAAGTTTGCCACCTGGTGGATAAGGTTAGTGTGATGATGATTCCCTATAACACCCGGAATTCTCAAACCCCGACGTGGACCTGTCCATCCTCACCCTTTTGGATGTCAGGCTGACCACACAAAGGTAGCCTCTGAGATTTATAGTGAGACACACCTATCTCAGTGCTACTTAGCCCTGGCTGGCAGGCTGGACTACAAGTCTTGGATATCCTGGGTGCCCAGCAGAGGCCCATTAGTGCTCCCCCTTTGGGTGGTTACTCTTACTGCTGAGCCTTTTGTGAAATGTAGATGGGCTCAACAGGATGGTAGCACCTCCAAAATCGACATTTGCTGAATCCTAAAATTACCACTTCAATATTTTCAGAACTGCTGTGCTCATACCCCTACAAAAAACCGAAGCTACTGAAAAGATTTCAGGATTTTTTGCTTTTCCTCAAAACCCCCTGCCTCCACCAGTAAAGCAAAGCTCTTAAGTTTACACTTTGTTCAGCAGAGACACAAAAATACAGCCGTCGTTCCCACTCATTCTCAGGGGGAGCAGGGTTGACTCAGGCATTAGTAGCAATGGGTCTGTGCTGAGGGTCTCAAGTACTGTCCAAAGGTACTGGGAGAGGGAGCATTGACAAAAATGCAGCAAATGGCAGGCACCAGAAGGTGGCCCAGGTCTCACCAATGGAGTTGGAAAGCTGGAAAGTGTCAGATCATGGGGCGCTGAGCCAGGACTCAGAAGGATAGAAGATATCTGGAGGGCAAGGGGCAGCCCCAAGTGGGCTAACACAAAAGATGGGTGGAATTCCTTGGGTAGGGAAAGGTAAATCCCATCCATGGAAACCAGGCATTTCAATGGGAAGAAATGCTTAAATACCTTGTTATAAACTGAATTGTGTCTTCCTTCTCCTCAAATCCATATTTTGAAGCGCAAACCCTAATGTGACTGTATTTGGACATAGAACTTTTATGGAGGTAATTGAGGTCAAATAAGGCTGTAAGGGTGGGGCCTTAATCCCATAGTGTGTCAGAGTGTGTGCTCCCCCACCTTCAGTCTGCCTAGAGTTCGTCCTTAAACCAAGAAGCAGACAAATAATGATTGTCATTACTACAAAGTCTCTGGAAAGGGTTTCTTGAGGAAAGATTCATAATCAGAGATGGGAGGATATGTGGGCATGAACTAATGACAGATGTAGGGAGCAGTCAGAGAGGTCCATTATATATATATATATATAGGTACGTGCTCCTAGCGGGAACCAAACCCAGGACTCTCTGGTCTGCAGGCCAATGCTCCAACTGCTGAGCCAAACTGACCAAGACAAGGTTCATTATAGAAGTAGAGAGGGCCTTTCTACAATCCCTGAGAAGGGCACCATGTCACATGTTTAGAGCAAGACCTTCATAATAGGGAGGATGCAAGAGTCAGCCTCATCAGCCCTACCCCAAATATTTGGACTCATTTGGTGGAATATAAGAGTCTGCATTTATAACCAACATCCTGGTGATTTTGATCACGAAAGTCGACTGAGACACTAGTTCAGAAAGATAAACAAGGTCTGTGTGGCTAGTGCACATATATCTGGGGTAGACTGAGACTCAAAAGTTGGGCAGATGCCCAGTCTTGCAGCACCTTGTCTATCACAGGCAGGGTTGTCTCTTTATCTGAAGAATGGTAGAAACCTCACTCATGGGAGGGTATGAGGCAAGACAAGCCCAATCATATTTGTATTAAAGTGATTATCTTCCAGAGTGTTACTGTGGTCCTTCAATATAGAAAAGCTTATTAAACACCAGGATGAAGAATCAATGAAAACGTGCTTCCAGACAGGATTAACATACATTTCTCAAAGAGCTAAATACTGCAACATATAAGGTTCCAACATGAAAGTCCTGGTGCTTATGAAATGAGACTTCAAAAAATCTTGCTCTTTTTATGCAATGGCATCATCTGTCTTTGTACTGCCTGTGAGTGCTGTAAAGAAATTCATAGCCAGTCCTGGCTGGTTTAGCTTAGCAGTCAGCGAGTCGGGAAGGGCTGATAGGTCTTGGGTTTAATTTCTGGTCAAGAGTATGTACCTGAGTTGCATGTTTGATCCCTGGCCCCAGGAGGGATTGTACAGGAGGCAACCAATCAATGTATCTCTCTCACATGGATGTTACTCTCTCTTCCCACCCCTCCCATTCAATCTAAAAATCAATGAGAAAAAAACTCTCAGGTGAGGATTAACAATAAAAAAAAAAAAAAATAGAAAAAAAATGTATAGCCAGAACAGAGCAGCAAAAGCCATACAGAATCTGAAAAGCTCCAAGGAAGTTACATTTCAATTCTTCCTATGCAAGTATTTTCAGTTCCAGGGAAAAGAAGTATTAATTTATTAAAAAATAATGCAGATAACTAGTTTAAAATTTGTATATCATACACTGATAATCTGTCCTACGGAATTCAAATATGTGAAACCGATTGCTACGAACCTTGATTAAACTATTTACACACAGATCAGAAATCTTTGTATTGAGACAACTAACTGTTCATGGTGATTCCATACAGATGCCACTCATGTGTGGTCCTCTCTGCCATGTTGTTTTTAGGGCGTATCAGCATCAATCTATACCATTCATAAGCACTTTTCCCCACTCAACAATGTAATAATGATAAAATCTTACTGCACTTGGTTCTTTTTTTAGGAAAGGCATTTGTTGGGTTTCTCAGCATTTTGAAAATCTCAAGTTAGGAATCTGTGGAATCCCTCGAAGTCACACCCAAATCTAATACATTTTCCCACTTCTCTCTTCTGTGGGTTCTATGTTAGTGGGTACTCATGACTAAAGGTCCTCAACATTGATCATCTCCACATTTCCCTACTGTTAGGATGATCTGAGGAGTGTATTTTGTGTAAAAGCATGTGTATGTCATCTTGCTCATGAGTATGACTGGGTCAAGTGTAGAATGGCATGAATTGTGGCTTAAGGCTTCCTATGTCCCAGCTTGTGTAGAGTTCCTCTAACCAGTATGAGTTCTCTGGTGCTTGGTCAGGGAGGAGCTGTGTGTGAAGGCCTTTCCACAGTCCCTGCACTCATATGGCTTCTCTCCTGTGTGGATCCTCCGGTGCTGAGTGAGGTGAGTGCTCTGCCTGAAGGATTTCCCACAATCTGGACATTCATATGGCTTTTCCCCAGTGTGTGTCCTCTCGTGCTGGCTGAGTGATGAACTGTGACTGAAGGACTTCCCACACTCGTTGCATGTGTAGGGCTTTTCCTTGGTGTGTATCCTCTGGTGTTCTATAAGGAGGGAGCTCTGGCTGAAGGCTCTACCACACTCATTACACTCATAGGGCTTCTCTCCTGTATGGATCCTCTGATGCTGAATGAGTGGAGCAAGCTGGCTAAAGGCCCGGCCACATTCGTTACACTCGTAGGGCTTCTCCCCGGTGTGGATTCGCTGATGTTTGGTTAGGGATGAGCTGTGACTGAAGGCTCTGCCACAGTCACTGCACTCATAGGGTTTCTCCCCTGTGTGGATCCTCTGATGTTGACTGAGGTGTGTGCTCTGCCGGAAAGCCTTCCCACACTGACTGCACTCATAGGGCTTCTCTCCCGTGTGTGTCCGTTCATGCTGGCTGAGAGATGAGCTGTGGCTGAAGGTTTTTCCACACTCATTACACCCGTATGGCTTTTCCCCTGTGTGAATCCTCCGATGCTCAGTCAAGAGTGTGCTTTGGCTGAAGGCTTTTCCACACTCATTACACTCATACGGCTTTTCTCCTGTGTGTGTCCTCTGATGCTGAATCAGTGGTGTGATCTGGGTGAAGGCTTTTCCACATTCATGACACTCGTAAGGCTTTTCACCAGTGTGGATTCTCTGGTGTTTGGTCAAGGATGAGCTATTGCTAAAGGCCTTGCCACACTCATGACACTCATAAGGCTTCTCCCCGGTGTGTATTCGCAGGTGCTGAGTGAGATGGATACTTTGCCGAAAGGCCTTCCCACATTCACTGCACTCGTAAGGCTTCTCACCTGTGTGAGTCCGCTCGTGTTGGCTGAAGGAGGACCTAAAACTGAAGGACTTCCCACATTCACTGCACTCGTAGGGCTTTTCGCCTGTGTGAGTTCTCTGGTGCTGGATCAGTGGGGCACTTTGGTTAAAGGTCCTCCCACAGTGCATGCACTTATAGGGTTTCTCACCAGTGTGGATTCTATGGTGTTTTGTAAGTGCTGAACTATTTCGGAAGCCTTTTCCGCATTCGTGACATTCATAAGGTCTCTCTCCTGTGTGTGTTCGGTGGTGTTCGATGAGTGCAGAACTGTGACTAAAGGCTTTTCCACATTCCTGACATCTGTAGAGTTTCTCTTTTGCATAAGTTTTCTGTTGTGCATTTAACTTTAAGTTTGAATTCTCTCTTTTTCTGTGCATTCCCCACGTGTGGGAATCTCGTCTTTCAGGAGTCATAGGTTGAGTTGGGAGATCAGGGCTCAGACTTAAGGTTTCCCCAAACCCAACCCCAAGCTGCTGCTGCTGAAGAGATATTTTCACAGGTGTGAAGGCCACATGTACCACACCGCCATGAAGGCTCTTAAAACTTTGTTCCTGGTGCCCCTCAGTGTCTTCACCCTTAGAACTCCACAGACCATCCCACAGGAACCCTTCTACCAGGATATTGTTGGATAGTTCTTCAGAATTTTCTTGCTTTGCAGATGACAGTTTGGTTTTCAATCTAGTTTCCAAGTCTGAAAGAAATAAAAGATTGAATTGTCCCTCAATCGTTCTGGGAGCAAAAGTTCATGTGTGGATAGGTGATGGAAGAATTAAACTGACAGTTTAGAATGGTTTGAGGCACAAATGACTCTGATCATTAAATCATATTGTTTTACAAACCAGAGAAGGAACAGAAGGGGTAAGAAATGTGCAGAGAGTAGAAAGGTAAGTTGGTATAAAAGGTACAGATGGCCCAGCTGGTGTGGCTCAGTGGTTGAGCATCAATGCACCAAGAGGTCGCCAGTTCAAATCCCAGTCAGGGCACATGCCCAGGATGTGGGCCCAGTCCCCAGTGGGGGGCATATAGGAGGCAGCCGATTGATGTTCTCTCTCATCGACGTTTCTCTCTTTAAAATTAATAAAGAAAAACAAATTAAAAAATTAAAAGGTACAGATGAAGTTGGCAAGGGGGACACAGAATTTGGAAGGAAGATGATGCTGGAAAAAGAGTTAGCCTTCAGGGAAAATGCAACAGATGCCCAAGCTTGGGAGGAGCAGAGTGATAGTCAGGCCTGGGCTAATGCAGCCTCCACTATGCCAGGTGGTAGTGGAGGAAAAGCTGCCATTTGTGAAGGACCAGTCTGCCCTCTCGTTTCTGAGTCAGCCTCTTTTTTTGTTTTAAAGATAAATTGGTGTTTTATTTTTTTTAAATCCTCACCCGAGGATATTTTCCCATTTATCTTCAGATAAAGTGGGAGGGAGGGAGGGAAGGGGAGAAAGAGAGAGAGAGAGAGAGAAACACTGATGTGAGGGAGACACATTGATTGGTTGCCTCCCATATGACCCCGACCAGGGTCAGGTACCGAACCACCTAGGTACGTGGCCTTGACTGGAATCGCACCCGAGACTCTTTTGTCCATGGGCCGATGCTCTAACTTCTGAGCCAAACCAGCCAGAGCTCAGAGCCAGTGTCTTCTTGGAGACCCCTCACTGTTGTACCACTTCACCCCACATGTAAAGAAACCCATCAAGGTTCTCAAACTGAAAACTGCTGAAATGTCCTTCAGCAGGAGGATCAATAAATGATTGTGGTGTGTTAGAGCCCTTTGAACCTGTTTATTCTGTCCATCTCCCATGGGAGGATCCCATGGGCATGCTTTGGTCTGCCTTATGTGCCACTGTACCCCAGCTACAAAAGGAGTCAACAAACATGCTGAATGAAAAAAACCCAGTACCTTTGCACTTGCCATTTCCTCTGCTTGGAATTCTATTCTCCCAGATTGTTTCATGGCAACCCTGTTCTCATGGTTCAGACTTTACCTCCCACTTCACCTCCTTCAAGAGGCAGGCCCTCATTTCTCTGCTCATGTCTTTCCCCCAATTTTAGTCTCTACCTCATCATGTTATTTCACTTGCTCGGCATTCTTCATACTCATTAGTTTATCTATTTATTATGTGCTCCTCTCCAAGAATGTAAATTCAGTGAAAACAGGAACTAGGTCTCACTCATAGCAGAACAGTACTTGGTGAATGTTCACTAAAAGAATGAGTAGTCAGTCTGCTCTGAGGAATCTGAGAGAGACCTGGGGTGGAGGGTGAGTGGGCTCCTTGTAGCCCTGCACGCTCTCATCTCACCTGGGCACACACCTTGTGGAACCTCCTTATCCACCAGCCAGGGCTCCGTCTCCTGGTCCACCAGGGAGATGAGGGTGGCTTTCGGGAGCCAATGTCCTGCTTAGGGGGAAACCCAGGGCCTGAGCATTTGTGTCCCAGAGTCCTTCCCAACCCTCTGCCCACTCCACCTTCAGCCTTTCAGGACTCAAGTGGCCGGGAACCCAGAGAGGCCACAGTCATTTTTGTAATAACATCTTCGATTTTTCCTTTACTCACTCTCAGACCCTGACCCCACTCCTGGCTCTGGGTAGACATGTGACTCAGGCCTGGCCAACCAGTGAGAATTCTTCTATTCCCTGCTGGCAATCGTGATCAGTGTGGAGGGGACCTAGTGGCTGACACAAGGCAACTCATGGGCCTTCCTTGGGCACCCTTGGATTCTGGCAACCTTCAGAGGGCCCATCTCTGAATGGTGACTGAAAGATATGCAGAGGGAGGAGGGGGGCTCCTGACAGCAACATAGGAAGACCCAGGTATAGCCTGGGACTCTGCAGTTCTGGAACCCAGTATGTCCCTCTTACCCTGCGATGTCTTGCCTATGGCATTTTCAGGTGGAATCTGTAATTTGTAGGCAAAACCAAAATAGTCTAGTCTATTAGGTGCAAGACACAATCAAGTTACCTGGTTGTTTTTTTTGTTTGTTTGTATTTTTAAATCCTCACCCGTGGATATTTTTCCATTGACTTTTAGATGGAGTGGAGGAGTGAGAGAGAAACATCGATGTAGGATAGAGGCATTGATTGGTTGCCTCCCGCACAACCCTGACTGGGGCAGGGAACTGAACCTGCAACCAAGGTACATGCCCTTGATCAGGAATAAAACCCACAGCTTTTCAGTCCAGGGGCTAATGCTCTTAACTACTGAGCCAACCAAACTGGCTAGGGACTACCCCTGCTTTTAATACAGGAGAATTCAAGTCCATACTGGGAAAAGACCATGAGGAACACTGATGTGGCCTTACCCACAGAAACCAGGAGCCCCAAGGTCTCCTGCATCACATCACGGTACAGGGTCCTCTGGGCAGGTGTCAGCTGCCCCCACTCCTCCTGGGTGAAGTCCACGGCCACGTCATCAAAGGTCACTTGCTCCTGGAACATCACACAGAAGTTTCCTCAGCCAGGGCAAGCCTGGCACTGGCTGCTGGTGGCAGCAGCTGGACAAGAAGGAGAAGGCCAAGCGTGTCTGGGACGCCTGAGTGTAAGGGTGATGGTGTACTCACCGGGAACCCTGCATCCAGGAGTCCAGCAGTCATTCCCTCCTCCTCTGGTCTCTTGTAGAACAGCCAGCTCCTCTGTAGGCAGTTCTGGGAAGAAAGAGGATGTGAGAAACTGAGCAGATGTCTTAGGTGACCACAGATCCCAAGGATCTGAACCCCTACCCTGAAGTAGAAGGAGCTGTGGCTGTCAGAGCCTGGGGCCCAGTACCCAGGCCAACCCTAAAACCAGCTTCAGCTTGGCATTTCCAGAGTGCCTGCTGTGAGCCAGTGCTATTCTGGGCACTGCTGAAGAATGATTGCACATTTACCCATGCCAAAACAAAGACAGGAAAACTGAGGACCAGGGTTGGCAAGGGACACACCCCTGGTTATGCAGATGATTTCCAGGAAAAAGACAATTTGTGTTATCATGATAGGAAGCCAGACAGTTCTGGGTTCCCTGGGCTCCACTTGGTGTGCTTCAGTTTCCCTCCCCCCTAAAATGACAGGTGATCAGACGTGGAATTAGCAGAATTAAAGTGTGAAAAAGTCTGAACACAGAGCAGAGCAGCAGTCTACACATGATAGCAACTGTTGCTGGGACAGAAGCCTCACATTTCAGTGAGCACCAATTTAGCATTTAATACATTCCGTGTTTTCGGTGGTTTACAAGCTCCACCCTGACTGCCCACAATAACACTTCGGCCCAAGATAGGATGCTTTCCTTGTGTCTGTACTTTTCCTTGATGACTTCGTCTATGCATCCGTATTCTGCCTCATCCTGTTTGTGCTATGTTGTGCTAACTGCAATATTCAGGATGGGAGTTACCCGGTTGTGATGAGTTCCTGGGCTATTTATCATGTCCCTGATCTCCCACCCATATTCCATGCACTCCAAGAGATGGAGACTATGTTGGGGTCTAGAGACTCGAGCATAAGACGTGGCCTGGCACCCAGGACATCTAAATACCTAGGTGGTTAATTAATAAGGGCCCTAGATAGTGCTTGGCATAGTCAGTGCTCAAAAAAGGTTTCATACATTGAGTCTGTTTTCTGGGTTCCAGTCGACCGAGATTAAATTCTTGTGGTTTTGGTCTTACCTATCTTCACCTTTAGGGAGAGAAGTACCCGTAGGAAGGTGAGGCTGCATTTGACTCTGCGGTGGGACCTCGGCCTTCCCCACCCTCAGAATCCCTAACATCCTAACACAGCAGGGGAGGGATGCAGGTCAGGCTGGTTCCAATCTTTGAAGGATCCGGCTGGCGATGTCTGTGATTGCGCCCCAGAGCCTGGAGACTCCGACCTCTTGCGCCAAAGCGAAGACCCCACCTCTACCCCATCCCTCCTCTGAGACCTCGGGCCCCGCACACTCGGCCCTGCCACAGCTGCCCCCAAAGCTAGACACGCTAGGCACAAAGGAATAAAACGGACTTGGTACTATTGCGCACAGATAGGCACTACTGCAATACGGCAGCAGCCCCTGGGCAGACGCCCGATCACTGACCGGTATGGCCTCCCCTGCCGGGACACCCTATTCTTGCTTACCCGCCGAACCACAGCACAAAGGCAGCGGCCGCTACCAGCCGCGACTGCGCCTGCGCTGAGAGTGGAGCGACTACAGCCCGGCGAGGGCCACGCGTCGCCTCCGGTTACTCCAGACTTGCCCCCCATTCCGCCCGCGACTTTAGAATCGCTTTTACAAGGCTCGGAATCCGAAAGCGGTCTCGCGGACTCGCGCCCGTCATAGCCTATCTGCCCCGACCCGGGACACTCACCGTTAGATGGTGCCACCGTGCCACGGCCACCATCAGTGTTGATACGAACTACATCACCCAGAGGAAGGTGCGCGCGCTTCCGGTCGCTTCGGTGTTCGCCCCGCCCAGGTCCACGGCCTAATGTGTCAGGCTGGAATCTGACCACTGCTCGCCGAGTCCGCCGGCCTCAGTCTCACAAAGCCACCGCAACGTCACACTCCGCACTGTTTCGTCGAGCGCCAAAGGTCACGTCTCCTGTTCGTCGGCAGTGCGCCTGCGCCGGCCGGCATCGAACTACAACTCCCAGAGGGCCACGCTCGGGTTCCGTGGGCGGCTCTGCCGCGGGTCGGTGTATTCACAGTAGTTCGATTTATGGCGCCTTATGAATATTCGCTGCCCACCCGCCCACTGCGTGACGGTCTTTACAGACGTCCCTCCAGCTTGGACAATAAAGAGAGACATAACAAAGAAGGAGTGGGCCAAAAAAAGGGGAATTGAGAGGAACGAAGGGAAAGTTCGACTGTCCTCTGGGTTTCATCCCTTGAGACAGAAAAAGGACAGGTCAGTGTCGGCCAGGACAAACTTCATTTTCCTCCCAATATACAGAGACTCCCAGACAAGAACATAATATTGAAGTTTGAGCTTTTGTCCAATACAGGAAACACATGGAGACATTTATTTTGATTTCGTCCCAGGAATGTGTATATTTGAAAGGTGCTTATTTGAAATCGGCTGAAGACTGAGGACCCTCTGAGGCCCTCGCATTGCCGCAAGGCCTCCAGGGAGGTGTGGACCGCATCTCTAAGAGGATAAGGGTCCGTATTTGTCAAAATGGACTGTAACTTGCAGGAGGCTTCGCTCCTACGCGACGTCGTTTTGCTGACGCCCCCAACTCCGTCCACTGCCGTGAAGGACACCAGTACCGCGGTGCCTTCTGGGAGAAGTAGTACGAGGCTGGTGTGACCATGAGTCCCTTTAACCATTATTCTTAACCCCAGATTTCCCGGAGTCTACGGAGCCTCCAACCGAGCCCGTTCGGAAGTCAGGATGCCCGCCCAACGGTAGACTCTGGGAATTATAGTGGGAAAAAGCCTTCTCGGTGCTGTCGCGCCTTGGCCGGGTAACCTGGACTACAAGCCCCTGAAGACCCCGGGTGTAGTCCAGCCTCCATCGTGCACGTCCTGTGTGGACATCCGCACTGCCCTTCTTTCTGGGAAACGCAGTCGGGCTCTCTGGGCACCCAGCGGCCAAGACTTTCGGACCGATGTGAGGCGGAAGAACCGGGAGCGGGGTGTGGGGGGGGGAGGACTACAACTCCCAGAAGTACAAGCGCGCATCATTGGGACGGAGCAGCGTCCGCGACCGCGCACTCCTATTGGTCAGAAAGCCTCGCCGCGCGTCCTTCTCATCGCGGTAGTTCCACCTTTCTCTCGGAGCCGCGGTCGGGGGAAAGGCTGCGCTGTTCTTGGGCCGTGGGTTGCTCCACGCGGTGGCGAAGCCCGCTAATGACCCGAGCTCACGCCGTCTCGCACTGGTCGTGTCCGCCTGAAGCCCTACCCGGAGCGGAGCGGGTCGTGGTCGCTTGTGGGTTGGAGGGAGGAAGTGCAGCAGGCTGTTCTCTTGAGTTTCCTCACACCCTCTCGGATCTAAGCTGAGTTGAGGAGACTACGGCCTCTGGGCTCCTGGCAGCCCGTCCCCCGATGAGTGGCCACGTTCCCTCGCTCCCGAAGGGCTGGACATGCGCAGGTTGCGCGTGTTTCCCACAGCTCGGTGGGGATGACATTTCGGGGTGTCACCTTGCCCCGTATCTCTGCCCTTCCTCTGATCATCCCCTCAGCCGGTCGTTCTGGCCGCGGAGGGAAATAGAGAGGAAGTTGGCGAGTCATGCTGTCCTTAAAGGTACCAGCAAAGTCCCATAGCCAGTCACCATGGAGTCACAAAATCTCTGGACCCGGAGGGCTTCAGCTACTGCTCATTTAAGGAACGAACAATTACAGTCTTTTCCACCACCTGGAGTAAGTTGTGTAAAAGGGGGAGCATCTTTCAGTGAGTTGGGATTGTCTTTTGCTTTTGTTTTTAATATTTTCTCTTTGGTTTTAGAGAGATGGGAAGGGAGATGGAGAGAGAGAGAAACATCCATGAGATAACAGCTATTGGCCGCCTCCTGCACCACCACCCCCGCCCCCTTACTGGAATGGAACCTGTGACTTCTTGGTGCATTGGTGCATGGGTCGATGCTCATCCAGTGAGCCACACCAGCCGGGCTTGATGCATTATTAATTTTTTTCCTTTTTTTTTTTTTTAATCCTCACTCGAGGACATATTTCCATTTTGTTCAGAAAGAGTGGAGAGAGAGGAAGAGAGAGAGAAAAAAACATTGACATGAAAGGGACACATGAGTAGCTACCTCCCCCACCACCCAACCAAAGCGGGGGACAAACTGAGGTTGGTGCTGCAGGCCTACGCTCTAACCGCTGAGCCAAACCAGTCAGTGCTAATTTGTTCCTTTTTACTGCTAAATCATGTTCTGGTTTGTTTTTTTTTAACGAATCACAGCTTCTTTATTCATTCTCATGTTGATGAACATTTGGGTTGTCTCCAGTTTTGAAGGCTGTTATGAATACTGATGCTGTGACTGTTCTTATGCTATGCTTTCAGGGGACCTCTGGTTTTATTTCTCTTAGGTAAATATCCAGGAGTGGAATTGCTGGCTCATAGGTTAACAAGGTCTGCATTTATTTATTTATTTTCAAAGGATATGTTTAGAGAGGAAGGGGGGCGAGCGAGAGAGACATCAGTGTGAAAGAGAAACATTGATTGGTTGCCTTCCATATGCACCCCAACCAGAGATCAAACCAGCAACCTAGGTATGTGCCCCATAACCTTCTGGTGTATGGGATAACAATCCAACCAACTGAGGAGACCAGGGCAAGGTCTTTTTTTTTGTTGTTAATTAGTTTTTTCTTTATTGATTTTAGAGAGAGAGGAAGGGGGAGAGAGAGAGAGAGATGGAAACATTGATGAAAGAGAACAACTGCCATCTCCTACACATCCCCCACTGGGGATCAGGCCCATAACCTGGGAATATGCCCTGACTGGGAATCGAACCAGTAACCACTCGGTGCATGGGTCAGTGCTTAACTACTGAGCCACACCAGCTGGGTCCACCTCAAGGTCTTTTATTAATTTTTTCATTGTTATTTTTTTAACATGCTAAGAAATCTTTGACTATGTCAAAATTACAAGGATGCTTTCATCTTTTCTTCTGATTCCTTTATAGTTCTTGCTTTTACATTAAGACCTGTGATTTGCCTTGAATTACTTTTTATGTAAGTGTGAGATTGTAATCAAGACATTTATTTTTTCTTGTGGTTATCCATTTGTTCCAGCACTATTGAATGAAAAACTTTCCTCTCACCATTATATTAGACTGAAGCTTCTGTTAAAAATTAATTGAATGTATATGTTTTTCTGATTCTCTGCTCTCTTCTCTTTCACTGATCCAGTTTTTTCTAGCCCTATGTCAACATTATGTGTGTTCATTTTTGTAGCTTCACAGTAGATCTTGAAATGAGGTGGTAAAAATGAACGTCTCATTTTATTGTTTATAATTGTCTTGGCTATACCATGTATTTGGCACTTCAATATAAATTTTAGAATTAGATTGTCAATTGGAAATTAATCAAGTTTTTAATTCCACATGATTTGTACTTCAATTTTCATTTTTTTGCCTTAAATCTATAGGTCAGTTTGGGAGGAATTTACATCTTAACATGTTGAGCCTTCCAATTTCATGAACATGGTATATTTATTTCAGTACTTTAACTTCTCCCAGCAATATTTTGCACTTTTAGGTATACACATCTTTCACTAAATTTATTCCTAGGCATTTGAAATTTCTGATGCTATTGTAAGTATTGGTGTTCCTTGGTTGTTCCTTGGTTAGAGCTTCTTTTTCACATCAATGTTTCTTTCTCTCTCTCCCCCTACCTCCCTTCCACTCTCTCTAAAAATCAATGGAAAAAATATCCTCGGGTGAGTATTAACAACAACAACAAATCAATAAAAGTGCATCCTTGAGTAAGGATTGAGAAAGAAAACAAAAACAAGATTAAAGGGGGGGGGCTGTCGTCCTGAAATATTTCATTTTTTGGAATGTCTACATATTTTATTTCCCCTAATGGTGTCCTCTCCGCCTGTTTTGCTGATCACTTTTTAAAAAGTATGTTTTAGCCCTGTCTGGTTTGGCTCAGCGGTTAGAGCGTCGGCCTGCGGTCCGGAGAGACCCGGGTTCGGTTCCCGCTAAGGGCACGTACCTTGGTTGCAGTTTGTCCCCAGCCCTGGTTGGGTCGTGTGGGTGGCAACCACTCGATGTGTCGCTTTCACATCGATGTTTCTCTCTCTCTCTCACTCTCACTCTATCTGAACAAAATATCGAAAAATGTCCTCGGGTGAGGATTAAAACATAAAATAAAATAAAATAAAAAGTATGTTTTAGCCCTGGCCGGTTTGGCTCAGCAGTTATAGCGTCGGCCTGTGGACCGGAGAGTCCTGGGTTCGGTTCCCCTTAAGGGCATGTACCTCAGTTGCAGTTCGTCCCCAGCCCGGGTTGGGGTTGTGTGGGTGGCAACCACTCAATGTGTCTCTCTCACATTGATGTTTCTTTCTCTCTCTTCCTCCCTCTCTCCCTCCCACTCTATCTGAAGATAAATGTAAAAATGTCCTCGGGCGAGGATAAAAAATATATATATATATGTATATATATTTTAGTTTTTAGGTTTTTTTTAGAGAGGAAGGGAGAGGGAGAGAGAGAAACATTGAAGATCTCTGCCTCCTGCATGCCTCCTGCTAGGGATCAAAACCCAGGTGTGTGCCCTAATTAGGAACCGAACCAGCATCCTTTTTGTGCAGAAGATGATGCGCAGCCAGCTGAGCCACACTGGCCAGGGCTGATCACTCTTTTTGTGGATCGATTTTCCTGTAGATTCCTTTTGTTCTGTATGTACATTTTGTGGCTTCTCTTCTTATAGTTTGATCTGTTGCCTTAGTTGATGTTTAAAAACC